TTTTTGGAAAGCTGACTTTACATAAAATACGATAAATGAAACAAAACCTAAAAATTTTTGATACCGAGGGGACCAGGTCCATCCAAACAAACCCTATTTTTTATGGAAAATTAAATTTTGAGCAAAAATTCTCAAATCGCATAGTCGATATCAAATTATAATGACCTGTTTTATATGACTCAATATGTTCTTAATAATTTAGTAACGGGTTTCGATAACCCCGCCTCGGTATGGATATAATAGGCAAAAAACCAAAAAATCCCATTTTTGGGATTTTTTAAAACTTTTTTGGGAATTCCGGGATTTCTAATAAGAAAATTCGAAATTTTTATTTAATTTTGAATTTTGAGTAAAAAAATCTACCTAACTGTAAAATTTCATCAAAAAATATTCATAAATAAAATTTTTATTGCAATTTGAAAAATTTGTATCTTCGCAAAAACTGAATAAAAAACATTTTTTAATTTTTTTTAAAAAAAGTATTCCGCGAATTTTTTAATTTTCCTTTCCATTGATATATAACATGCCTACCTAATGTTTTTTAAGTGACAAATTAATTAAGGAAAACTCAACATCTTTTAGAAAATTTACCTAAATCGGAACTCAAATGAAGAAATAGGATCGTTTTAAAAATTTAACATAGCCGAGGTGTCCTAATTTGAGGACCCCCCGCCGGGCCCCTGGTTGGCCTATAAGGTCCAAATTCAAAACCTAAACTCGAATTTCATAAGGACCCAGAATATATATACTTTGTTGGGTCTCAGATGAATATTTCTTGGTGTTACACACGAAATGACAAAGTTATATATACCCTCTATCACCACTGATGGTGGTGGAGGGTATAAAAATAAAAATTATATATTTTTATTCTACCCATATACCCGTGAGAAGTGAGAGTGTTATTAATTATAATAAAAAACAAGTAAGAAATTATAGTCGGGCGAGGCCGACCATATAATACCCTACACCTTTGACAAAAATATAATGTGATTTAGTCGCCATAATAAAGCATTTAAGTTGAATTGTACCTTGCCTTAGATATACATACTTAAGCCGTTTATTGTTGAATAAAATTGTGGACATTTAAGTGAAATTTTGATGGGGGGCTTTTCATAGGGGCTAGGGTCATATGAGAACCTATTATTATGGAATTCGTGGGGGTCATCAAATCTTGTATACAACTTGGTTATTGCAGCTTTTTGTAGTGCCATTTGTGCCAAATTTCATTGAATTATCTCCAAATTTCGACCTGTAGTTTGATTACAAGTTTTAAAAGCCCTATTCGGGGGTTCAGTTGTATGGGGGCTAGGTGAAATAATGGACCGATGGTAACCATTTTCAATAGGCTTCGTCTACGGTACCATAAAAGATCATGTGCCAAATTTCATTGAATTATCTCCAAAATTGCGACCTGTAGTTTGATTAAAAGTTTTAAAAGCCCTATTCGGGGGTTCAGTTGTATGGGGGCTAGGTGAAATAATGGACCGATGGTAACCATTTTCAATAGGCTTCGTCTACGGTACCATAAAATATCATGTGCCAAATTTCATTGAATTATCTCCAAAATTGCGACCTGTAGTTTGATTACAAAGTTTAAAAGCCATATTCGGGGGGGTTCAGTCGTATGGAGGCTAGGTGAAATAATGGACCGATGTTAACCATTTTCAATAGACTTTGTCTACGGTACCATAAACGAGCATGTGTCAAATTTCATTGAATTATCTCCAAAATTGCGACCTGTAGTGTGATTACAAAGTTTAAAAGCCCTATTCGAGGGGTTCAGTTGTATAGGGGCTAGGTGAAATAATGGACCGATGTAAACCATTTTCAACAGGCTTCATCTACGGTACCATAAAAGATCATATGCCAAATTTCATTGAATTATCTCCAAAATTGCGACCTGTAGTTTGATTACAAGTTTTAAAAGCCCTATTTGAGGGGTTCAGTTGTATGGGGGCTAGGTGAAATAATGGACCGATGTTAACCATTTTCAATAGGCTTCGTCCCTGGGACAATAAAATATCATGTACCAAATTTCATTGAATTATCTTCAAAATTGCGACCTGTAGTTTGATTACAAGGATTACAAGCCCTATTGGGGGGGTCAGTTGTATGGGGGCTAGGTGAAATAATGGACCGATCTTAACCATTTTCAATAGGCTTCGTCACTGGGATAATAGAAGATCATGTACCAAATTTCATTGAATTATCTTTAAAATTGCGACCTGTAGTTTGATTACAAGGTTTACATGGACGGACGGACGGACGGACAGACGGACGGATATAGCTAAATCGACTCAGAAAATGATTCTGAGCCGATTGGTATACTTTAAGGTGGGTATAGGACCAATATTATTGTGCGTTACAAACATCAGCACAAACCCAATATACCCTCCCCACTAAAGTGGTGTAGGGTATAAAAAGCTACAGTGTTGTTGGTTGTTCTTTTTTATTTTTTTCTTTTGCTTTTTATTGTCACACACATTAGTGCTGCAATATTTTGATTGTACGAATAAACCGGTTACTGTGTATTTTAAAGTGATAAAGTACATTTTTACTAAATTTTTTATATTTTAACCCGTGAAAATAGATAAATCGTGTAATTTAAACAGACCTGGGATATATGCATTAAATGTGTTAATGCATTAACAATTTTTTCTACATTAAAAAAAATTAATGTTAATGTAAGTTTATTGCATTAACATTAACATTTAATGCATTAAATTTGCATTAACATTAAATATTTTTAAATTTAATGCATTCATTTTACATTAACATTAAATAATTGTGAAATTAATGCATTAATTTTGCATTAACATTAAATATTTTTGAATTTAATGCATTAATTTTTCATTAACATTAAATAATAAATAATAAAATTAATGCATTAATTTTCCATTAACATTAATGTATAAAATAATTTATAAAAATAAGAATACAGCGCTAAAGACCTCGGTCTAACTAAATTCAAGTAAAATTGAATGTGTTAAAGTCCTTTCTAATAATTCCTATACTCGATAATACATATTAGAAGAATAGTATCACTTCCCAGATATTCCTTTTTTAGTTTATTTTGTTAAAGTCCTTTCGAATAAGTCCTGTTTTTTTAGGGGTTAGAGGGAGATGGGTAGATGGGTACTTACGCGGGAATTAGGAGGAAGGGTAAATAACAAAGGCTTGGGATATTTTCATAAAACGTTATAATACTTATGTGTTTATTGATCTTTTCGGTAAGTATATAGGGTAAGTAAATAGGGTAAGTATTTAGTATATAACTAGGTTAAGTATATTACTAGGTTAAGTTTTATGTTCAATATTAAGGTAAGTATTTTCGGTTAGTTTTAGGTTTTAATATTTGTTTATTTATTTATTTATTTTAGGGTAAGTATTATCACTGTGATATAGTTTTATTAAGTTCACAAATTTTAATAATTATTGATAATTAACTATACTTTTAGGGTTGTTAATACAATTAACAATTATATTATTTTAAATATTTTATTCAATATTTTATTTTGTATATAGTTTAATTATAATGAATTTCACTATTTAGTAAATAAAAGTAACTTTCAGTTTACACTTTGGGTTTTTATGGTTTTAACTTTAGTATTAAGTAGTAGGGTGTAGGGATACAAAAAACCGCACTTGTTGTTCTTATTCCGACAAGTTGATTAGAAGTAAGTAAAAAGGCAAAAACTGCAGCTGACGTTCGTATAAAAAATGAAGTTGGCTGCAGTTTGGTGTGGGTGCTATTGGATTTCAGGGATGGTAACGTTCAATTGTTCACTGATGTGAACATCCTCCCGGGCCTGGCAACCTGTGAAGAGAAAGGAACAATTATTTTTATTTATTCAATAAAAATGGTGTAGGGTAATAGGGTAAATTATGCATGTAAAATACTTCATTGTGTGTGGGTTTATTGGGTAGAGGATCCCATGACCAGCCAGCCAAGGGTAGAATCCTGGGCTATAAGTGAGCCCCCGTCGATGTGGATTACATTGGGCTGAAGAATGCTGGTGTATAAATCTCCTCCAATCTCCATAGAGACAGGTTTGTTCGAATAAAATTCGGGGTCAGCAAGTGAGATACGGCAAACTTTGTTTTTAATGGCTTCGTCCATTGGGTTTGGGTAAGGGGTTTTTGGAAGATCTTTAACAACTTCCATACAAACCTCGTATCTAACGTTTGATGCTAGATTTGGTCCAATTAACACTTTGACGAAAACCTCGTTGTCGATTGTGAAGGGTTTCAAACTGGTGTCTCGTACTAACACGGATGCAATTCGGGACTTTGTTAGGCTGGGGTTTAATATGGCCCTTGCTATCCGGTTTCCGCTTTCCATGATCATCTGCACAACTACAGTCGGTACGAAGGTTTTCGTCATGGATGTTGTAATTGGTGTGGTTATGGGTGTTGTTGCTAGGGAATGGCGTGGAGCTGGTATGGGTTGAGTTCTTGGGGCTGGAGTTGGTGGTGGGGATCGGTCTTGGAGCAAATTCTTTAAAATCCTATTTGGACCATGTAGGGTTGAGTGATGCTTGCCACCGCATTGTTGGCAACGAGCCTTACTAGGGCATTTTCCAATTAAATGGTTTCTTGCCAAACAATTCACACAGTAGTGTAGGCTGACCGCAGTTTTATATTTTTCTGCCAAATTCATTTTATTGAATTTATGGCAGTTTATTAGCCTATGATCAGCCTTACAAATACCGCAACCATAATATTTTGTTGTTCTTTTGGGGTTATGATGGCTTCGGCTTCCTTTGTGGTGATGCGTATTACGGCGACCAGAGCGACCAGAGTTAGATCCTCGTTTGTTATTGGGTGCCATTCTGTATGGAATTAAAAGATGGTTTATGAAAATGAAATATTATGAATGAATTAGTGTGTTAGGGTGAAGTGTTAAATATGATTCATAATATATTGGGTTAGTATATGGGTTAGTTGAAATAATTAAGGATATTGTTATATTGGGTAAGGGTTTGAGTAAAAGTATTAGACTAATTAGCGGGTAAAACAACAATTTTAGTAATTGGTCGTGTTAGAGTTCCAGTTGAAGTTTGTAAGTCAACTACTCTATTTCTACCATCAGAACCAGGGTGTGTTTTGGTCACACGTCCAAGTAACCATTCATTGGGTGCTAAATTGTCTTGTCTAATTACTACAATATCACCTATTTCAACTTCTCGGGTAGGGTTTTTCCACTTATATCTTTTATGGAGCTCTTTAAGATATTCATCTTTCCATCTTTTACAAAAGTTGTGATGTTGTATCCTTAATTTTTGCCATCTGTTTGCCAGGGTTATATTATCACTGCTTGTGTCGGGTTCTGCAGGGGTAAGTATGGGTGAGCCAATTAAAAAGTGTCCTGGGGTTAACGGGTTAAGATCCTGAGGGTTTTCACTTGACGGGCTTAAGGGTCTCGAGTTTAGGCATCCTTCTATTCGAGCAAGGAGTGTAGCTAGCTCTTCAAATGTATATTTAAGGGTATTTATTTTCTTCAAATGAGCTTTAAAGCTTTTAACTCCTGCCTCCCATAAACCGCCCATGTGTGGTGCACCTGGGGGTATAAAATGCCACGTCAAATTCTGAAAACTGTTGGTAGATATAACGGAACCTTTCAATTGCCTGATGAATTCCTGTCGCTCTTTCTTCAATAGCTTACTAGCTCCAATGAAATTTGTCCCATTGTCCGAGTAAATGGCGACAGGGCATCCCCGCCTCGAAAAAAATCGAGCGAAGGCTGCCATAAAGGCTTGGGTAGACAAATCAGATGTTGGCTCCAAGTGGATGGCTTTTGTTGCAAAGCAAACAAAAACACAAACGTAACCTTTCGTTATTTTACAAGTTCTGCCACTATATGCTTTGACGTCAAATGGTCCTGCAAAATCAACGCCAACATTTGTAAAAGCTTTATCTATTTGGGTTCTTTCTGGTGGCAACGCCGCCATAAATTGGGTTGTTTGTCTATTCCTATATCTTATGCAGGGTGAGCATTTGTTAACAACATTACTAATCAGATTCTTAAGTTTCGGAATCCAATATCCTGATCGGATTATTCTCAACATAAGTTGATTTCCACCATGCAGGGTTACCAGGTGGACGTGTTGTACTAGTAATTTAGCAAATGCACTTTTATAGGGTATTAATATTGGGTGTCTTTCGGAATAGGACAAACTGTTGGAATTTGCTAGTCTACCATTTGCACGCATTATCATTGCAGAATCTAAAAATGGAGTTAGGGTAAGCAGGTCACTTTTGTTGGGTATAGGGTATTTTCTCTTCAAACAGTTATATTCGTTGTTGAAATATTCTGTCTGACAAAGAATAATAAGTCTATCACGGGTAGATTTGATCTCTGACGCATCAAGTTCAATACTTGGGTGGGTAGTTAATAAACGTAGTCTATCATTGACTAGTTGTGGGTTATTTCGATCAAGAATAACTCTATCATTTCGAATTGTATTTCTTCGGGTATATGATGCGCGATCACAAAATCGATAGACATATGTCATTACTCTTAGAGCTTTTGACAATTTCGAAAATCTTGATAATATGTCTGGGTTTTCAGTATTCGTATCTAAGGTAGGGTGGGTATTAACTGTCGTAGTAAACGACTGACTAACTTTAGCTTCAGCTTGAGTAATAAAGTGTTTATCTGTTGTTGGCCACTTCGACGCGACTTCTTTCAACCACGATGGTCCATTCCACCATAAAGTGTCATCTTTTAACTCATCAGCATTACATCCTCGGCTAGCAACATCGGCAGGATTATCGTGTGAAGCAACATGATTCCAGTTATCTACTCCTACTGTTTGTAGAATTGTTGAAACTCTTTTTGCCACAAATGTATTCCACGAGTTAGGGTGTTTACTAAGCCAGGCCAAAACTATAGATGAGTCGGTCCAGAAATACGTCTGATGTAAGGGTAGGTTGAGTTGGGTGAGTACATTGTGTGTCATATTTGCCAACAACACTGCACCACAAAGTTCAAGTTTTGGTAACGAGATTACTTTGATTGGCGCAACTCTCGTCTTAGCGAAGAGTAGGGTTACGGAATTAGGTCCGTCTATGGGTGTTACTCGTGCATATAGACATGCAGAGTATGCCTTTTCAGAAGCATCTGAAAAACCATGAAACTCAATTTTTGCTGAAGGTGAAAAGTTAATCCATCTTGGAATACGAATTCTATTAATATTATCGTAGAACTGCAAAAACTTTTGCCATTTTATAAGGGTGAGTGGGTTAAGACATTCATCCCAAGCTGTATTATCTTGCCAAATTTGCTGCATAATAATCTTGGCAGATATAACAATTGGCGCTAACCAACCAGCTGGGTCAAAAAGACGAGCAATGTCTGATAACACAGTTCGCTTTGTGTATGCTGATTTTCTTTCAATTAAGGGTACATTAAAGAAAAACGTATCTTCCTTAGCGTTCCAACGAATGCCTAACGTTTTAGCATTATTTGATTCGGGTAGGGTGAGTAAATCAACATCTAGTAGATGTTCTTCGGGTAAATTGTGTAATAATTCCTTTGTATTGGAAATCCATTTTCTCAAAGGAAAACCAGCAGAGTCTAGAGCCGCGATCAATTGGGTTTGAGCTTTTTGAGCTTCTTCAATTGTGTGACCTCCGGCTAAGACATCATCAACATACATGTTGTTTCGCAAAATTTGCGAAGCTATAGGGTGGGTATTTTGAATGTCGTCGGCTAATTTGTGTAGGGTTCTAATAGCCAAATATGGTGCACAGTTAACACCAAATGTAACTGTTTGCAGTTCATAATCTTGAATGGGTTCGTTGACGCTTTTACGGAATAATATCCGTTGGAAGGGTGTGTGGGTAGGGTTTAGCATAATTTGCCGGTACATTTTTGTAATGTCGGCATTATAAACTATCTTGTAAAAGCGCCATTTCAAGATAAGTACAACTAAATCTTGTTGTAGGGTAGGACCAGTGTGTAGGGTATCATTAAGACTGTTGCCGTTCGAGGTTTTGCTAGATGCATTAAATACAACTCGAACTTTTGTCGTAACACGATCAAGTTTAACAACAGCGTGATGGGGTAAATAATAATGGGTGTTTGAAGGAATGTTTGGGTTATATTTAATTGGTTTCATATGACCTAAATCGATATACTCTTGTAGGACGTTATCATATTCCATTTTAAGCTCTGGCTTTTTCATTAAACTTTTCTCGTTACGTAGAAATTGAGCCATAGCAACGTGTCTAGAGTTTCCTAACTCAACAGGAGGGTATATAAATGGTAAATTTACCTGATAACGGCCATTTGGCAATCGAAGGGTAGTGGTCTTGAAAGTTTCTTCACATAAAGAACTTTCTTCTGAAACTTTGGGTTGGGTGGGTACATCTTCAATTTCCCAGAACTTGGTCAAAACTTTATCAAGCGTTACTGAACTGAAGTAAGAAACTAAGGGTTGGGTATTTTGCGAATTCTGAACGGGTCCTGTTAAAATCCAGCCAAACTCAGTCTCCTGAGCTATAAGGGTATTGAGTAAGTCTTTTCTGACTCCAGATTTTAAAATCTGTGGGTAAAAATCGCTGCCAATAATAAAGTCTATAGGTCGACTTTCGTAGAATTTTTGGTCAGCCAATTGAATATTTTCCAAGTCTTGTATTAGGGTGGGGTTTAAATTTTGGGTGGGTAAGTTTTTGGTTAATGTTTTAACAACAATTGCTTGGATATTCAATTTAAATTCATTTTGTGTGTTAGAGCGCAATAAAACTTGACATAATTTATTCGAACGAGCTGAAACTATTTCATTCAATCCTGATATTTCAGCAACTATGGGTGTAGTGGGTAATTTTAACTTCCTTCTCAGTTTATCTGTGATAAACGAGAAGTCTGAAGCTGGGTCAATAAGCGCTCTAGCTGGAAATAGTTCTTCTTGAACATCAACGTTCAGAACTGCAGTTCCTAATAACTTCGTTCTGTCATCTATGGGTATTGGTTTGCTTGATTGGGTGTGGGTTGAGAAAGACTGTACTGCATTGTGTGATGTTGACGCCTGAGTATTTTCAACTTGTGGGTTAGGGTTAGAGTTCGGCTTGTGTAAAAGCGAATTATGTTTACCGCCGCAATATCTACACTTAAATGCGCTATAACAATCTTTTATGACATGTCCAGTAGCTAAACAATTGTAACAAATTCCATTCTCATTTACAAATTCAATTCTTTGGTTTAATCCTAAAGAATTAAATGAAGAACATTCTCTTAGGGTGTGATTCTTTTCACAAAGTTTGCAAATGGACCCATAGAGTTTAGTTTGGGTGTTTTGGGTATTTGGTTTCTTTTGGGTATTTTGGGCATTTGCATTCTTTTGGGTATTTGAATTGGGTATATGGTTTGGGTTAGAGAATTTTTGTTCATTTTGAGGTTTGGGGTTTGGGTGGGGTTTCTTTGAAGAATGGGTTACATTGTGAAACGCTTTGGCTCTCCTGTCAGGGTTATATTTTGTTTCAGTAAATTGTTTGGTTTTAGGGTGGGTATTAGGATTCGAATCTGGAACATCGTTTACTGATGTAAGTTCTTTAAAAGTGTTCGTTAAGAACACATCAAGATTCGTCCAAGGCGGCATTTCAGCGCTATCATTGAGAGTTTTTTCAAACTCTCTTCGGGTTTCTTTGGGTAATTTTGATAAGCAAAGATATACAAAGATAGGATCCCAATTATCCGTATCAATTTCTAATGAATTTAAATTAGCAATACAACAATTAATCTTTCTCTGAAGCTTTCTTATAGAAGCACTGCACATGGTGCTTACTGTGGGTAAATTAAAAAGTGTTTTCAATTGCGCATTGATTTGCATTCGTCTATTTTCAAATTGAGAGACGAGTTGGGTCCACGCTATGAGAAAGCCATCATTAGTTAGGGGTGCGTTGTCAACGATTTCTTTGGCTTCGCCGCTTGTTTTTTGCTTAAGATAGAAGAGTTTTTCAACTCCACTTAAGCGTGTGTTGTTACCATATATGGCTTTAAAAAGATCCCGGAAAGAAGCCCAAGATTTAAAATCTCCATTAAATGTAGGCATATCGCATGGAGGTACATTGAAGGCTACGGAATTGTTGGGTTGTGGGGGTTCGGGTAATGAGGCTCGGGTATCATTGGCCTTAGTAATCTCTTCAATAGATTCATCTATTGAGATCATACTAGTTCTATAAAAATTTCTGGCAGATCTAAAATGATGCACAACTTCCGTTAAATTGATTGTTTCAGCCTTCTTTGGATCGAGTAAATCTGCGGATTCTCTAATTTGAGTGAATTTATGGTCAATTTTAGACCATAAATCACTTAATTCACGTTTTTTGAATTTGAGTGCGGGTAGCGATTGAAAACTTTCCGGAGAGGAACGATAATCTTCCTCAAAAGACTCCAAATCCATTTGGATATATCGCATTAAAGTGGCGGCCAAAGATTTTAAATCGGACATATTGGGTTAATTTAATTTAAAAATCTACAAAAAATTTGTAACAGCAAACTTAAATTTCCGACAGGGTATTTTATGTGTGTATGGGTACGCTACACAATTCGGGTGGTAATATTAGCTTAATCAAGCAATATATAAAAATATTTCCAAAAAAGTTTTTAATAGGGTGGGTGGGTGAGTGGGTTTTGAATAGAAAATATTTTTATATTATATTGCTTGACAAATAAAACTAATATAATACAAAAAAATGGAAATTTAAATTTTATTAGTAAGTTGTAAAAAATACACTTACCTTGTTTGCTGGGGGTAGGGTACAAACCTTCACAAGAGATAAACCAAAAAAAAAAAAAATCTCTTGTGTTGTCGATTCTTCTTTACACCTTCTTCCCGCTATGATGTGTGTTGATCTTGTGTGTAGTGTTGCTGTTGTAATATGTAAGCTGGGTCTGGTATGTATGTTTAAGCGTGTGTATATGTTTTGTGTGTGTTTTATTTCTTGTTTATTTTTTGGGTATTGTTCTTTAAAAATACAGTGTGTAAATTTATAAATTTTAATTATTTTAATTATGTGTAATTGTTATTTATTCTTGTTTTAATGAATTTGTGTGTATATTTTTTTTTAAATTTTTGTTAATTTGTTAAATAATTATGTATTACTAATTTCTGTTTTTGTAGTTTTTATATGTTTTTTATTTATTTAATTTTTTTTTTTTTTTTTTAAACAAATAGGTATTGGGGTATGTGGGTAATTTTTTTTTTTCTTTTTAGATTAATATTTTGTGTTTCACTGTATTTTTTTTTTTTTTGTATGTTCGTGTTAAAAATATTTGTTTTTATTTGTAATGCATTTTTTCTTTTCACTGTTTTTATGTTGTGAATTTTGATTTGTTGTGTTTTCTGTTTATTTTAAATTTGTTTCAGTTTTATTTGTTGAAAATTTTGTTGTCTTTTGTAACAAATATTTTGTTTTTTACTTTGTGCACTTTGTTGTTTATTTTACACAATTTATTTGTTTTAAGCTTTTTGTCTGTTTTTTGTTACAATTTGTACACTTTTTTGTTTTGTTTTTTTTTACAATTGTAATTTATTACACAATTTTATTTTTAATTTAGTTTATATTATTTATGTTTTAGTTTGTAGGGTATTTTTAATTGTTTATTCTCTTTTTTTTTTTTTTTTAATTTTTAGTTTTATTTTTAAGGGTGGGTTTTTTATTTTTTTTACATACACTTGCTTTTGCTTACTTTCAACACTTTTCACTTTCTTCACACACTTTTTATTTTTTTTTTTAAGCTTACTTTCTTTTCAGCTTTATTTTTGTGGACTGTATTTTTTATCAATATAGCCGTTTCTTTTTTAAAGGCTCGATTGGACCAATGTTTTTTTAGGGGTTAGAGGGAGATGGGTAGATAGGTACTTACGCGGGAATTAGGAGGAAGGGTAAATAACAAAGGCTTGGGATATTTTCATAAAACGTTATAATACTTATGTGTTTATTGATCTTTTCGGTAAGTATATAGGGTAAGTAAATAGGGTAAGTATTTAGTATATAACTAGGTTAAGTTTTATGTTCAATATTAAGGTAAGTATTTTCGGTTAGTTTTAGGTTTTAATATTTGTTTATTTATTTATTTATTTTAGGGTAAGTATTATCACTGTGATATAGTTTTATTAAGTTCACAAATTTTAATAATTATTGATAATTAACTATACTTTTAGGGTTGTTAATACAATTAACAATTATATTATTTTAAATATTTTATTCAATATTTTATTTTGTATATAGTTTAATTATAATGAATTTCACTATTTAGTAAATAAAAGTAACTTTCAGTTTACACTTTGGGTTTTTATGGTTTTAACTTTAGTATTAAGTAGTAGGGTGTAGGGATACAAAAAACCGCACTTGTTGTTCTTATTCCGACAGGTTGATTAGAAGTAAGTAAAAAGGCAAAAACTGCAGCTGACGTTCGTATAAAAAATGAAGTTGGCTGCAGTTTGGTGTGGGTGCTATTGGATTTCAGGGATGGTAACGTTCAATTGTTCACTGATGTGAACAAGTCCTATACACGAAAATACTTATTAGAAGAATAGTATCACTTCCCAGATATTCCTTTTTTAGTTTATTTTGTCTGTGGAATCTTATATAAATATCATATTTAAAACACACAAGTTTGAATGGAATATAGGAGTTATTAGAAAGGACTTTAACCTATTTAATTTTAGTTGTATTTAGTTAGATCGAGGTCTTTTGTGCTGTATTTTTATTTATGTTTATCAATTTTTATATATATTAATGTTAATGGAATATTAATGCATTAATTTTATTGCTTATTTAATGTTAATGTAAAAGTAATGCACTAAATTCAGATATATTTAATGTTAATGCAAAATTAATGCATTAATTTCAAAAATATTTAATGTTAATGTAAAATTAATGCATTAAATCCAAAAATATTTAATGTTAATGGAAATTTAATGCATTAAATTTTACAAATTTAATGTTAATGCAATATTTTTTACATTAAATTATTTTTTTTTAATTTAATGTTAATGTAAAATTAATGGAAATCGCCCAGGTCTGAATTTAAATACAAATTTAACTCATTAGTAAAATTTCATTAAAGAATAATTATTTTTAAGTGAAAAATAATTATTAATTTTATTCGAAGTGAGTAACCGTTTATTCGTTTGTAGTATTAGTGTGTTTTTATACATTTTTATACTTTTTTAATATTGAAAGTGCTTTTACACTATAAAAAATTGTTGTTCGAAATATTTTAAACCCATTTTTTGTAAAATTTTTACCCTTAAAAACGAACAACGTGTAAAATCACTTTAATATTTAATATTTTTATACTTTTAACCCGTTTTTTTGTGGAATTTACGTCGTAAATTCCAATTTATCCAAATATTTATTGAAATTTTGAAAAGTTTTTGATCTTTTTTTTGAAAATTTTACTCGTTTTTTGTCGATTTCGATTTTATTCTGATCCTTAAATCCTTGATACGTGATTAAATTCAATCTTTTAAATTAATTTTGAAGATTAGATTGTTTATCTTTTAATTTGTTTTTGAGCAAGTTTACTCTACTTATTGAATATTTTTCAATTTCCCCCTAATTTTTCTTGCTTTTTGCCAAAATTACCCGGTATTTATTAAGATCTAAAATGGACATGTCCACATTAATTCGCAATGCAGATCGTTTAGCCGAATTCGAGGCTTATATTTCAATAATTCCTGTTGGCGAACATCGAATTGGTTCGTTAAGTAGCCATGAAAAGGAATTAACCCGTTTATGGGAAGCTGTTCTTTCAGCATACGATACTTTGTTGATCGAAGCTGAACAATTGAAAACCCCACAAATCGTTGAAGTAAAGTCCAGGTATATGGCTTCTTATAGTACCTACACTCGTGGTATCTCCTTGATCACGACCCATTTGGACAATTTAAAATCCAATGCTCAGGCAGAAAAGTCCAATGATCATGGAGCAAGTTCAATACCACTCGTTCATTTACCCCCTTGTAACACCCAATTTTCTATGGTGACTATAAGAACTGGCCTTCATTCCGAGACATATTCTCTGCGTTGTATGGCAATAACCCCCGTTTGACCCCAGTACAGAAATTGTACTATTTATTGCAGAAAACTGCAAAAGATGATCATGATGTCATACAAACTGTTCCATTGACTAACGATGGCTATGCAGTGGCATGGAAAAAGTTAGTTGACACATATGAGAACAAAGACGCCCTCATAAATGAACAGCTTCGTACTCTTTTAAGTATTAAACCCCTTACCCAAGAAACAGGCCCGAATATTAAAAATCTGCAACGAACGCTTAATGATTGTATTACTAATCTTTCATTATTAGAAGTTACCCCGGAAATATTTTATCACGTCATGTTAGTGTATATTTGTGCTACAAAGCTACCCGAAAATACTTAAAGTCTCTGGGAACAGTCCAAGAAACTTTGTCCAAAATCTCCAAAGTGGGAAGATATGGACGCTTTTTTGACAGCTTATTTCAAAACTCTTGAGTTTATTTCTGATATAAGACAGTTCAACCCAGTTCAAAATAAACCCCAGAATACTGTGTCGAAAAAGAACCCCAAAGAAATCATTTAATGACTCTAGAAGAGTTCAAAGTTTTGCAACAAACACTACCCCGAGTCCCACAGTTTGTCGTTGTTTCCTTTGTCAAGGACCACACCCCCTAAGACTTTGTCCTAACTTCTTGAGTCAGAGTGTAGATGATAGGCTGTCAACTGTCAAGAGACTTAGGTGTTGTTCAAATTGTTTGGCGACTTCTCACGATTTTAAGAATTGTAGAAGTACTCATGTTTGTTCGTTGTGTAGACAAAAGCATCACTCTTTGCTTCATAGAGATCCTAGATCGCAAGGTCAAGTTTCTCAAATTTCACCCCAGCTCCCTATAGCTTCTGGTACAAATGTACCAATTCAACCCCCGCATATTCAAACCCTATCTAACCAAACCTCGCATAATATAAACCCGGTTCCAGCAAGCAACCAAAATCAACACCCTCTCAATTTTCCCCCATCAACTTCTGCAGCGACTCAGAACGTTCATACGTATGCTGCACATCTGAGCCCTAACCCCCATTCCACAGTCCTTTTGGGCTCGGCTATTTGTATAGTCCATTTTGACCATCTCAGATGTACAGCAAGAGCACTAGTTGACCCTGGTTCGCAAGGTACCTTTATCTCTAGGAGATTACAAAGGAAGCTTGCAATACCAACATTTTCGGTGCCATCGATAAATATTACTGGTATGATGGATTGCTTGGCTGGAAATTCCTCGACTATGTGCGTTCTTACTATTGGTTCTCCAATAGACCCGAGTTTCAAATTGAAAATTTATGCATATGTAGTCGAGAAGATTACCGGTCGGTTGCCCTCGTGTTCCCTTACAGATATTGTAAGCTCTAGTTTTCCCAATATTACCATGACCGACGTCATGTGTACCCGTATGGATATTCTA